GGCACCGTCCACACAATGTAGGCGAATAGGCGGCCATCCGCACCAGTTTTGCCGCCAACAACGCGCATGCCAAAGCCACGTGCTGTGAAAAAATAAAGCAAAAGGAAACAAGTTATGCATTGAACGCCTTTAAGGGATGGAAATTGTTATGCTGGTTCAAAGAGAATTGACGTCTAATAAAAATTGCTGTACTTTTCATGCGGGCTGTTTGAACATGTGATGCTCTTAGTAAAATGTAAAATTTGGCGTATCATCGTAAGAAATGTTCGATATTCGATGTTCGGTATTTTCGAATAAAAAAATATGTAAATTGCGAAATTTGCATGGTACATTTTGAGTCGACCATATGTTACTTTTGTTGTTCAGTTATTGTCAAGATATTAAATGATACTTAATTTTTCCAGTTTTTGAGACTTTTTTCGAAATTTAACAAAAATTTCATGATTTTTTTTTTTGCATTTTCATTGCTAATTTCAGATTTTGTTAGTGATTTTCGCTATCTTTTTTTGGGATTTCTATACTTTTCCTGTTTTTTTCAGATGAAGTTTTAAAATTATTTGGATACCTTTTTGGGGCCAGATGGTTTTTTTCAGTAACTTTTGGCAATGTTTCGAACCATTTTTGGTCCCTTAAAGATTTTTAGTGGCATTTTATGCTTTATACCGCACTTTAGAAATTTTTGTGGGAGTTGGCAAGTTAAATGGCGTAAATTAAAGATTTCTTGGAATCCTTTTATATTTACAATTTATTTTTTCGAGAATTTCCTGCAATCTTTAATAACTTTTCGATATTTTTAATTTTTTTTTGTGTGGGTATAGCGTGATGGTTTTTTCAGTGCTTTTGGAAATTTTCCGAACATATTTGGGGTATATCTCGGGAATATGCATAGGAGTTTGCCTCGGTATTTTTCGAGACATTTCAGCAATCTTTGAGGAGTTTTCGATATTTTTCCGGCAGTTTTTCAAAACTGTTTGGAATTTTCTTAATATTTATTGATATTTTCTCGGAATTTTATTCAAGACCTTTTGGAGTTTTCCGCAAACATTTAGGATATTTCGGGATATTACAGATTTTTTACGGGTTCGATTTGGGGTCCTTTGAAATTTTTCGTGACTTTTTTAAAAAAATTAAAAAGCGGGATTTTTCGGGAACATGTAACCCTTCTTTGGTATTTTTCTGTATTCTTTAAGTATTTTAGGATATATATAGTTTTTTTTTTGGAACGGCGTAAGAGTTTTCTGTATATTGCGAAATTTTTCCCCACGTTATATTTTTGGGCACCTTTCGGGTTTTTCCAAATATTTTGTTTTTGAGACCTTTTGGGACTTTTTCTTACTTTCTGCTTTATTGTAGTTTATCGAGGCTTCTCGGGAGTTTTCAGAGGTTCTTATAAATTTTAGTACGCTTTTGATCAATTTTAAATAAATAAAAAAGCTTTCTTTTGTTGGCTTTTTAAATTTTCCTCCTTTCTTTTAGGTTTTCGGATATTTTTCGGGACATTTTATGATTTTACGTGATTATTATTTAGAATTTTTTTTAAATTTTTCTCGAGATTTGTTCAAAATTTTTTCCATATATCTTTGGGGTTTTTCAAGATCGATGTGATTGCAGCACTTTCGGGATGCTTCTAAGTTTTTTCGGCACTTTTTTGAACTTTTAGGGATTTTTTCGTTACGATTGTGCTTTATTACGGCTTTTCGATGAGTTTTTGGGAGTTTTTGGATTCCGCTACGCATTTCAAATTAGCTTTTTTGTTATCTATGCCCTAAAAACAAAAACAAAAAAATCAAGAAAGAACGGATTAATTTCTGCTGCAAAAATATCAGAAAAATGTTGTCTTTTATTTTTGCTCTGAAAAATAGTAAAGGAAAATATTCCGTATTTCTTGCTTTAAATACTGCACTTTTTTTAAATATTCATTACGGAATTCATACCCAAAATCATTTTATCTTTCCGACGATGCCATAACCCATAATTTTTCTTCAACTGAGGTTACGTATACGCAGCGTACGCCTATAACTAACTACACATTATAAAACCTACTCATTCTCTCATCCTTAAGTATGTATTTCCGCTTCGTTTCAACCAATTTTTTTTTGCCCACCACAACAAATTTGTCAATTTCAATCCTGATTAACTAACAGTCTGTGTTAATCGTGTCATCTGCTTCACCCCAAAAATCAATTGGCGCGGCGTGCTTGACGACCAACAAAAAGGCTTATGTCAGCATTCGAAGGCAGTAGTTTGAGTTGTGACTAGCCAATTTCAATTTGTCTATTTACTTGTGTGCTCTTTTTATATTCGTCGTTCGATTATTTGAGCTATTTGCTATGACTTCTGCTTTGAGCCTTGTGTTTTTCTTTCTCCCCTCAACTATGAAATTCGTTTGGAGTCATTCGCTTTTCATTGCTTGCTTCATCGCGGTCAATCCTCATCGATTACATTCGTATGCTTACAGACATTTATTGGACTTTAACTCGTCTTTTATAACTTGTCATTTGTTGTTTTTTTTTGCCATTTGCAAAAACGAATCAAAATGAATTTTATTTGACTTGTATGTACACTTTTTATAGAGGGTTTTTCTTTCATTCGTTCATTGGTTGGAAGTGCATAAACAAGACGCTGGTAATTTGTTTTCAAAGCACGAATTGTATGAAAGGAAATTAGAATTCTATTTGTTTGTATGAGTTGTTTTGGTAGGGGAATAGAATGAAGCGCATTGAATGAAAGTACTATTTGTTGATTTGATTTTGAGTAAATTTTATTTGCTCGAATCTTTCTTTTCGTGCATTTTCGACTTTAAATTCGTCTGACCCCAAATTCACTTAATGTCTTTATGTGCTTAATATAGTTGGACACAAAGTAATTAATGTCTTATTCAACTGGTCAGGAGTAGCCTAAGCTACTCTTGCTGTGGTCTATTATTTCATTTGCTACTTTAATAGCTACTTGCGAGCATTTCTTAAACATTTTTGCCCCCGGCAAATTGTCATTCTTAAAAAGCTTTTATTTGCTAGAATATATTTTTTAGTTTCATATCAATGCCGTATTGTTAAATTGGTACGATTGTATGTTAAATTGATCTTGAATTACTAAACAGGTGGCAACACTGTTCAAAACTATTTTAGAAATTAACCCTTATTTAACCCCCATTGCTTGATACCCATATTAAATTTACCTATTAAATTAAGTAAACTAGTAAACGGGTGGCAACCCTGTTCCAAAATATTTGAAAAATAAATATTTATTTAACCTCTATTGCTTTATACCCATATTAAAGTATTTTATTAAACTTGGCGATTAAATCAAGTAAATAAGTAAACGGATGGCAACCTTTTCCAAAACTATCTTCAAAAGACTTTGGAAAAACGCCTTCATAAACCTTTTACGTTTGATGCCCATATTTAAATATTTCAGTTAACTTGCTGATTAAATTATTTTAAACTTTTTGAACAGGTGGCAACGCTCTTAAAAATATTTTCCAAACGATCGTTTTTGAACCTCTTTCAATTTAAACAAACAATCTTGTAACATTGCCTTTAACTTTTTAATTAATTGATTTAACTTTTGAAAAAGGTGGCAACTCTATTCAAATAAATAACTATTTTAGGTTTATATTTCCACAGAAACCGATGGCGAATTTGATATTTGAGCTCTACAAATATATGATTTCAAATTTTCTTGACCTTACTTTTCCCAATAAAATTATTCGTAGAATACTCGAAAGAAGGTTTCTCTTAGATAAGATTTCTTTATATTAATCTTTTAATATTTCTTTTTAATTCACAAAGATTGCACAATGTGTTTTAATATTCCTAAGCGACTAACTTTTCCAAGGTTCATCATTAAATTTCTTCTCTATTTTTGCTGCCACTTAACAGCTCTCTTATTTTCATTTCGATTCCCAGAAATTTGCTTAATTTCCCTTTTACGACTTGCAGCTTAACAGTCCCACCAGCTGTCATTCATCAAAAACATTTAAGCAATTTGTATTTAGTATCCACCAGACCTGAGTGGCAGGCACAGGTAGAAACGATAATCGTGCAGCGCACAACAAACGAAACAAAGACAATATGGCCAAGCAGCAGCAGCGGCAGCAGAAGTAAAACTCCGTTGGCCCTTGTCATCATCAGCCATTGCAATTGCCATTAGTGCGCTTTGCTTCACAAAAATAACGCTTCAGCATTTCCCACAAAAAGTCTGCTAAAGTTAAAATGTGCAAGTTTTTGGCAACGAAAACGGTCTCCACTGCCCCAGAGTGGCCTTAGCTGTAAGCTTACGATGCTTACGTGAGCGAGACAGCGCTAAGCGCTATTCCTTCGCGGCTTGCATTACCTGAAAATACCCGCAAAACGGCTGGCGTTCGCAAACGCTTAGGGCGACGCCAGCACGTGAGGGGACTTGAAATGAACTGAAGTGCAGTGAAGTGTGCCTCGCGCGCGTTGGTCTCGCTTGAAGAAGTTCTTTTTTTGTCGTGCGGCTCTTGTCCCACCTTTCGACTTGTGCTGTTGCAATTGCTATTGTTGCGTTGCCCTTTTCGCTGGCATTATTGTTTCGCATTGTTTTAGTTGTTTTTCTTGCTGCCGCTTTGAAATCGAGTAGAGTACTTACTTTCTTGGCAAATGCAACCGTCGGGTTTTCTTTTTGTTTTTGCTTTTGGTCTTCTAAAGTTACTAAATGTTTCACTGCTTCTCGCACCACTGGCAACACGAGCAACTAAGGTAAGAGGAATGGTATCAGTTGCTTCGAGCCCGTGTGAATGCCAAATGCACTTTCTTTTGAAATAGTAGTTACAAATTAATTAATTAATTAAATCTCGTATTAGTTAGGTAACTGTTGTGGAAAATGAGAGATGAAATTCACGGTAAATCATTGCAAAATAGATTTATATAATTTTTGACTGGAAAATGTGTCTTCAAAATAAACATTCTAATGCTACTGACAGCTTTAGATTCAGACGTAGAGAGTGTAAAGTTCCTTTTTGAATAACGCAGATCTCTAAACGAAATGGTTTAGTATTCGTATTATAAAATACTACTCATAAGAGTTTCTGGACTCCGAGATTTCTAGGAGATTGCAAAG